AACTGGATGCAGTATTCCAAGTGTGGCCTTACCAAGGCATTGTAAAGTGGTATTAACACTTCACGTGATCTTGATTCTATCCCTCTGTTAATGCAGCCTAGCACTGTGTTGGCCTTTTTGGCAGCTGCAGCACACTGCTGGCTCATATTTAGGTGATTGTCCACTAGGACTCCGAGGTCCCTCTCACAGTATGTATATATATCTCATATATACATACAATCTCTTAGTAAACTGGATTAAGTCAATCCATGCTCACAACAGTCCCATAACACACATTTTCAGACAAATTTGTGAATTTGATTCTCCATTTTATTACCAAAAAACCTCCCAAGTTGCATCATCTAAATGTTTGGGTTTTTTCTACAGCCATTATTTAAACACATACACTGAGCTGCAGATATACCAGAAGATAAATAAGCATGATGATTTTTCCCCCAAAATGTATATACACACCACAGTACCACAGAATATTTACCAAATTACTTTGAAAAGGTTTGTTCAAAGTCAGAAATTAAAAACCAAACAAATCCTGTCTTCAGCCATTACTATGTGAGGTGCCACAGGTTTTGCTGCTTTGTCCTCACCATGGGGTGAGGTATCATTATATAATGTATCCTTTTATATATATCCACTCCTAGCACATTCTCCAGTGTCTGGAGAATGAATATTTGGATGGGGAACAACAGGCTTCAACTGAACCCTAGCAAGACTGAGTCGCTTTGGATGTGGGAACCTATTGGTTCCACGACTATGCCATCTTTGGTACTAGAGGGTTTGCACTATCCTAAACAGATCCAGTCCACAATAGGTGTCCTTGTAGCCTCATGACTCCTGCTTAATGAGTAGATGGTAGCTGTGGTTAGGAGGGCCTTTGCACAGCTTCTTCTTGTGCACCAGTTGTGCCCATTTCTGTACTGGCAGGCCCTGCTCACTCATTCATGTCCTAGTCACCTTTATATTGGACTATTGCAATGCAGTCTATATGGGGCTATCCATGAAGAGTATCCAGAAGGTCCATCTGGTACAGAATGCAGTGGCACAGGGAGTTTTGTGTGCTACTAGAACAGCTCTATTAACTGTATATGCTCCCTGCATGCTTAACAGAAGTTCCAAAATCTTGGTATAAATGATTATTTCTTTGTTACCTATTTCCTGAATTGACTTGTTTAATCCATAATGATTGTCTGTTTATGCAATCATTGCAGAAAGCACCACTAACATGAATCAGATTTTGTCCAATGCAAAAGCCATGCTTTTAAAGTTAAATGAAATTGAAAAACTCTTAATCACTGCAGACATTTCAAAAAGTAAATGCAGTCTCCTAGTCTAAATCTAGATCAGGCCCGGCCAATTTGTAGAGATCAC